GCCTTTTCCCTAACCTCTCTTAAGTGTAGTATTTTCCTTCCATTAATTATTTTCTCTTTATCACGTATATAGCTTGCTATGTATATTTGTTTGTATGTTGTCTCTCCTATTTGATTGTAAGCTCCTTGAGGACAGGGGTTGTCTTTTGCCTCTTTGTATTCCTAATGCTTAGCACAGTGCCTGGCACATTTGTTGTTCAACTGTTCAGTCATATCTGACTGTGTGTGACCCCATGGACTTTTGACTATGGGTTTTCTTGGCAAAGATAATGGAATGCCTGGTCATTCCCTTCTTCAGTGTGTCCCCCATTTTACAGATGAGAAACTGAGGCAGATGGGGATTAATTGACTTGCCCAGGGTCACACAGCTAGTAAGTATATGAGTTTGGATTCAAACTCAGACCCTTCCTGGCTCCAAGTCTGCCCCTACATGTCCAGAACATAGTAGGTGCTTAATAAACATTGATTGATTGAATAGCACCCAATCTGCCTTTGGGAAAGAGGAGCTCCCTTTACAAATACAGTCGTGAGCCTTCCCCTAACACTAACGTGCGTATACACACACACACACACACACACAATGAAAAGTTTGATGAGAATCTTTATAAACGTACTGAACCCATTCAGATCATCCCCACCAATAAGTAACTTCAACTTCCTATATTTCCCTATTAAATTCTCCTTATTTTGAGACTAAATTTGGAGTTTATCACCTTCCTAATGAGATGTTTATAAAATTCTTTGAAACCCTAAAGCCAGGGGCAGCTAGGTGGTGCAGTGGATAGAGCACTGGGCCTGGATTCAGGAGGACCTGAGTTCAAATCTAGTCTCAGACACATAATATTTACTAGTGGTATGACCTTAGGCAAGTCACTTAACCCCGTTGCCTAGCCAAAAAAAAAAAAAGAAGCCCTAAAGCCATATATAAACATAAACTATTGTTAGAACTAGCATTTAAATAGCTTTTTAAGTTCTGCCTATATGTTTACATACTTTCTCTCTTTGGGACCCCACAACCACCATGTAAGGCAGATACCACAGGCAACATTATTCACATTTAACAGGTAAAGAAACTGAGAGGTGAAATGACTTGCTTGAGGTCAGACAACTAGTAAATGACAAAGGCTAAGTCTGAACCCAAGTCTTCCTGACACCAAGCCCAGCACTCTATCCTAGGTCTCTATCTAGAATCACCTGTCAAGGAGACCATGATTCTCTCAGTCACTCAGGCTTGAAACCTTGGAAACTTGTTACTTTTCTTCATGCCCCATAACTGATCAGGCACTGAATCCTGTCCGTTATTTTTCAAGATGTCTCTTGTATCCACCTCTTCACTCTCACGGCCACCGCCTTATTCCCTTATTCCCCACTCTATTAACCTTGTCCCTGGATTATTACACTATCCTCCTGGCTGATCTCCCAGACTCCAGGATTTACCCCCTTCCTCTCTTTTCTCATCTTCTTCTCTTAAAATCCCTAGTTTCCTTTATAATTTTGCTCTGGCACCATCTACTCTCTGAAATAATTTTTTAATCCTTTTCCCCAGCTATTAGAGCCAACCTCCCCAAACCACCTTGTAATTATTTTGTGTATTGCTGCTTCTTCAGTCATGTCCGATTCTTTGTGACCCCATGAACCATGGCACGCCAATAATGACCGTGAAGTTTTCTTGGTGAATCTTCCACTTCCTTTTCCAGTGGATTAAGGTAAACAGAGGTTAAATGACATGCCCAGGATCACACAGCTAATAAGAGTCTGTGATGGGATTTGGACTCATGTCTTCCTCACTCTAGATCGCACACTCAATCCACTGCATCACCTAGCTGCTTCTGTTTTGTATATATTCTGTATTTTAATATATGTGTATATATGTATATATGTGTGTATATACACACACACACACATATAAATGTATACAATAGATGCAAGCTTCTTGAGAGAAAGGGCCAAACTTTTGCTCTTGTATCCCCATGACAGCATAGGGCATGGTACATAGTAGGTACTTAATACATTATTCTTGACTGATTGATTAACTGATTGGCATAGTTCAAGCATGGGGTAAGTAGGCCTTATTTTTTACAATTGAAAAACCTACTGAGCCACCTAAGAAGTGGCTCAGTAGGGATTTGTACATTTGGCCTCAGATTTCGGGTACATCAGAACCCTTTGCAAAACTGTAAACAGCACACATCAAGTTCAGTGCCTTACATCAACTCCAGAAAACTTTTTCTGGACCCTGCTAAGTGGAATATCTCTACAATTTTCTCCCATTTATTTTTTGAGGTCCCACCTTTGTCCCAGGTCTGACTGCTTTTGATGTGTTAAATACCTTGGGGAAATGTCTGACCTTCTTCTAACCCCTGGGATCTGGTGATAATTCTAAGGCCCGACAAAGCTAATTTGTCTTCTTAGAGCTGTTACTACCATTTTCTATCGAGTCCATCCCAAGGCCCAAGAACAAAAAGGAATATGTATATAGTAAGTGGAAATAATATTTTTTCTTACTGATTTATCATTATAATTACTGTTTTTGATAAGAATATTCCAGGAAAACTTTGGGGATATCAACTCCTCAGCTTAAGGAGCTGTTTCCTTTCCATGGGGAGAACTAACTTCTCTCAGTGACAGTGTCAGTTGGGGGGGAAAAAAAAGGAAAAAAAATACTCTCAACAGGAAGTTCAGGAAAACATTACTTTCACAGCTGGAAGGTCACCAACTGCTTCAGAGGAAGCAGGGATCCTGAGCCCAAGAAGGCAGGAACTCATCTTCAAATATTTTGATTTGGAAAGCAAAGATGTTTGAAAATACCAGGTTAGCCCCCTCTCTTATCCTTTTCCTGTCATGGGATACCCGGGTCATGGTATGGAGTTGGGGAGAAGAAATTTTATTTTTAAAGGCAGAAGGCTGGATGACAAACTTGTTGTTTTGATTTGAATGCCATTGGGAGGTAAGACAACGAGGGAACAACATGAGAGCTCACAAGGATGTGAAACAATTGTGGCCTAACATAATGCATTTGAGGCACATGGGAACATTTAGACAGATTTCTACCATAGCTTCAGGGGCAGCTATGTTGCACAGTGGATAGCACACTGGACTTGAAAGCAGGAAGACTCATCTTCCTAAGTTCAAATCTGACCTCAGACACTTACTAGCTGTGTGACTCTGGGCAAGTCACTTAACCCTGTTTGCCTCCGTTCCTTATCTGTAAAATGAGCTGGAGAAGGAAATGACAAACCATTCCAGTACCCTTGCCAAGAAAACCCCAAATGAGGTCACAAAGAGTCAGACATGACTGAAATGACTCACGAACAACAGTTATCATAGCTTCAGCTGTTCCCTGGAACTCCGTGAACTCATTCCCAGCCTCTAGGGTCTGTGACTACTGTCTGTCCTTCATTACTTCAAGGTTAACTGATATAACAGAGAATTGCCTATTGTCTACTTTTGACAGCTCGACTGGCTCTTTTAGGTCACTGGGCCTGAAATAGTATTGGGTATAACAAGCCTGGGAGAATATCCTACTCAATGTAGAATATGTGGTGAGATAGAGAGTGAGACTGACCTGAAAGGCAGAGCTGTAACTAGGGCGAGGCAACTGAGACTTTGTTTCATGGTGAAAAAAAAAGTATCAATCACAGAGGACGTTTTACTAGGGGCTTGTCTTCCTTGGCCTACCTACCCCATCCTTGACAATGGTAGTGGCACACTAGTCCAAGCTTCTCCATCCATGTTGGAAGAACATGGCCCACCTCTGCTCTCTAGTCGCTACAGAAAGAGTGCTGAATTAGGAGTTATAGAACCAGAGTTCACATCTCATCTTGTATGCTTGCTGCCTCTATGATTCTCATATAAAATGGTAAACTTTTTGGGCTTTGGCAGATTTTTTTGTTCTTTAGTCAACGTAGTCAGGTCCGACTCTTTGAGACCCCATTTTGGGGTTTTCTTGGCAAAGATACTAGGGTGGGTTGTTATTTCCTTCTCCAACTCACTTTTACAGATGAGGAAGCTGAGGCAAACAGGGTTAAATGACTCGCCTAGGGTCACACAGCCAGTAAGTGTCTGAGGCCAGATTTGAACTTAGGAAGATGAGTCTTTCTGACTCCAGACCCAACACTCTATCCACTGTACCACCTACTGCCCATTGGCAGATACCACAGGCAATATTATTCCCAGGTGACTTCCAAGGTCCTTGACAGCTTGACCCGTAATAGGCATAATACGATCCCTTGGTGATAGCACTTGCATAAGAATAGAAATCTGGGGCTGCTCCCAAGGTATACTATCTCTCCCCAGTAGCTTTCCCCTTCTCATTCTTCCCCCCCCACACACCTTCACCTCGTGATATGTCCCAGTTGAAAGTTTTGGAATGTCATACTTCTTGAGAAGGTTCAAAGAACTCCCCAAGGCATCAAATCTATAGCTTATATATGGGATGTAGCATTATACATCATGTATTTCAAAGACACTGTGATCCTGTGAGCTTGGGAATCTCCTGATATGGGAACTACATTTATACCAATGTTTATACTAATCTTTTATGAATTAGTAAGTATTATAGAAGTTAAGTGACTTCACCAGCATCACACAGTTAACATAAATATCAGAGGGAAAACTTGAACCCTTAGGCAGCTAAGTAGGATAGTAGATTAATGAGCAGGACCTGGAGTCAGAAAGATTTGAGTTCACATCCAGCCTCCAAAATTTAATAGCCAGTCAAGTCACTTAACCTCTGTTTGCCTCAATTTCCTAACCTGTAAAATGGGGATAATATTAGCACCGACTTCCCAGAGTTGATGTGAGGATTAGATGAGATAATGTTTATCAAGTGCTTTGTAAACCTTGGCTAATGCTAGTTGTTCTGGCCTCCAAGTTTAGCATTCTACCTACTATCATGCCTCTTCTCCATGTATTATCATAGTTGGTCAACAAATATTCACAAATTCCATATGTTTTATCAGAATTATGGGGAGGTGTATCTTTGCAAAAGAGCCCACTTACCAGCTCGTTTGTGTCTTAGTGACTCTTCCTTATAGTTCTCTCCTTCTAGTCCATGGCCTTGGTGGATCTGAAAGAAGAATGGCAAATTAATAAAGAACCAGTCGGAAATTTCTTCCTCCAGGTGGATTCCCACTGCTTATTCAAGCGCCAGAGCACCTTCTTTCTGTATCCCAGCATGTCTGGCACTTGGACACATTTACTAAATGCTTATTGAAGGACCGGTAGATAAATGTGAGTTGAAATTACAAAATAATTTTAGCTCGTTGTTGTTAAGTCATTTCAGTCCAACTCTCAGTGACCCCATTTGGGGTTTTCTTGGCAGAGATACTGGACTGGCTTGCCATTTCCTTCTGTAGCTCATTTTACAAATCAGGAGACTGAGGCAAACACAGTTAAGTGACTTGCCCAGGATCACATACCTAGTGTCTGAGGCCAACTTTTTCATTCATTCATTCATTCATTCATTCATTCATTGTCCTTTAGCTTCTATAAAGCTATCCTCTTTGTAATCGCCTGTTTCTCTGATTGTCCTTTCTGTTACTCTTTTCCTTCCCCATGAATGTAGTCCCTGAAGACTCAATCATCACAAACTCTTCTTTCTTCTCTTTCACTTGTCCAGAAAGCTAATCCACTCTAAGACTTCAATTATAATCTCTGTATAGATGACTCTCAAACCTACATCTCTAGTCATTCTTTACCTCTTTCCTGAATTCTAGTTCCCTTCCTCTGTATATCTTTTTTTTTTTTAATTTAATTTAATTTTTATGGAATAAAGCAAGCATTTCCTTAACATAGTGTAATAAAAAAGATGATTGCTCATGAAACCGCAAATCTACTGTGTAACTCACTATTCCTTTTAAATATACAACAAAGTTATCATGTAGACTTCTTTTTTTCTTTTTTTTACCTCCTCCCTTCCTGCTGTAGGGATGGCACCATTAGACACAAATATATATACATGCCTACATATATACACACATATATACATACATATGTATATATGTAAAATTATTCTGTACATCTATTTATCATTTCTTTCTCTGGATGCAAATGGTGTCTTTCTTCATATGTCCTTTATTGTTAATTTAGGTATTTATAATAGTCAAAATGACTTATTCACTCAAAATCATTCTTAAAACAAAATTGCTGTTACTGAATACATTATTCTCTTGGTTCTGCTCATTTTACTCTTCCTTATTTCTCCATATATCTTTAGGCTAGCTAGATAACTCAGTGGTTAGAGCACTGAAAAGAGAGACAGAAGGACTTGGGTTCAAATGCAGACCCAGACACTAGCTGCATGACCCTAGGAAAGTCCTTTAACCTCTTGTTCACCTCAAATTTCCTCATCTGTAAAAAAGGAGATTATAATAGCATTTACCTTCCAGGGTGGTTCTAAGGACAAAATGAGATAATACTTAAAAAGCACTTTGCAAAACCTCAAAACACTATATAATTGCTAGCTATATCTCCATCTGAGTGCCATTTGTTAATTCAACCTAAAATCAAATTGTAGATCTTTAACTTTTCTTCTTCAAAGTATTCTTTCCAACTCTGCCTTTTCTATCAGTGATACAGTCATTTCCCCCAGTTCTCCAGGCTTGAAACCTTGGAGAGATTCTTTTCTTCTTTCAACCTCTATAGTCAATAAACCACCAAGCTCTCTTGATCCATCCTTCAGAATGTCTCTCTGATGATGCCCTTTATGTCTCTGGCCTTACTGCTACCACACTAATGCTTAATCAGTAAATATTTATTGAAAGCCTGCCATGTAAACAGCATAGCTATAGGTACTAGAAACTAGTCCTTATCCCTTTCATTTCACATTTAAGTAACTTCAAATCCTAATTTTTCTCCCTGGTTCTAGTCTTTTACTGGTAGATTTCGCCCTGAACTCTGCTATTGAATTAATCTTTTAAATACCATTTTCTCTATGAGACTCAGTCTGATACAAGCTCTCATCAGGTATCAGCCTCTACCACGGTACAAGCTCTCAATACCTCTCATCTGGACTTCTGCTGGTAGGTGTTCCTGCCTCAAGTCTTTCCCCATTCCAAACCATGCTCCCGCCATCAATCAATCAGGTGTCAAAATGATTTTCCTAAAATGCAGATCTGTGCATGTGACATGTCACTCTGGCCTACTCAATAAACTCCAATTACCTACTTAATAAACTCCAGTTAATTCCCTATTACCTCCAGGATCAAATATAAAATCCACTTTTTTAAGAAATAAAATCTTCTTTTTCCTTTATTCTGAACCCCTTATATATTCAGTATATATTCACCCCACAGCATTTCTCATTTACAAATTGCCTAGAATTGTTTTCTATTTGTTTCATTTTGTTCGGGTCTGGTACTGAGACAAATTGTAAAACTGCATGAATTTTTGCTTTGGTCATTCATCTAGTCCTTTCCCCTCCTTTAAATCCTTTTCCCTTCCCTTTCTCCAAGGGCATAAATCTACCTAGCATTCTCTTCCCAGTAAAAGAAAGAACCTGATATCTGTCAATTACTCCTCAATGTGATTTTTAGGTTACCTCCTTCCTAGGGCATTTCCATTTTAAGATTGTTCTCAATACACATGTGAAGAGATGAGAGGAGAGGGAAACATAATTATTTTTCATTAGCATTATTGTGGGAAGAGTCTTTAGCCTTCTATAGCAGACTGCCAAAGGAATACATCTCACACACACACACACACACACACACACACACACACACACACACACACAAGAAGCCCTCTGCATTAAAATAATTTCAGGTACAGGGTGGAAAATGTATTTTCTTTCTTTTAGCATCTCTTTGTTCTTTCTTTCTTGAATCTGATACACCTAGGTACACAGTAGGCAATTAAATGCCTTTGTGAAAGAAGTATGGATGAATGGAGAATGACTGAACTCTGAAAGATCTGAAAGGAGCATAGATCCTTAGAAATCATTTTAATAGATGAGGAAACTGAGACCAGAGTGATTTGCCCAAGGTCACACAGCAAAAGCAAGTAGCAAAGTTGAGAGTTGAACTCAGTTCCTCTGATTACAATCCTGGTCCACTTTCCATAGTACCACATGGTCCACACAACTCTGCTGCTGTTCTCATGTTGGATTTTATGTATATTCTTAGGAGCCAAGGAGGGTAAAGAGGCAATGTATACTGCTACAAATTTTCTGCTTCCTGTCTTCTTTGGCTCCAATTTCTGAGCAGGACTGAAGAACACAAGGCTGCTTTGAATTCTTTCCTCTGCTCCTCCTGGGTAAGTAGTGGGAGAAGAATAGGAAATGGGAAGTGCTCTCTGTCTCTCTGTCTCTCTCTCTGTCTCTCTCTGTCTCTCTCTCTCTCTCTCTCTCTCTCTCTCTCTCTCTCTCTCTCTCTCTCTCTCTCTCTCTCTCTCTGTGTTACTCTCTCCCTCCCTCGCCGTCTCCCTTCCTCCATCTCTGTCTCCATCTTTCTTTCCCTCTCTATCTCTGTCTCTCTCTTTCACCCTTTCTTTCTGTCTCTGTCTCTCTCTTTTCCAGTCTTAGGAATGGAAGCAGATATCATTATGGTCCTTTACGGTAGAGAGCAGAGATATCTTCTACTGAAGAGAGCAAAACTCTCATGGGCTGGCCATGTTTGAATGCCAAAAGTATGTTTGCCTGAAAACTATTTTATGGAATACTCAAACAAGTCAAGCTCTCACACAGAGGTCAGACGAAGCAATACAAGGACCTTCTCTAAGAATTGATTACACACTGGCAAAGGACTGCCCAGTATGGTGTGCCCACATCAAAGAAGGCGCTGTGCTCTATGAGCAAAGCAGAATTGCAGTAGCTCAAAAGAAACATGAGGTGCACAAATTCAGTCACCACTCCAAACGTTCATATGGGCTATTTGTGCCTGACTTGTGGTAGAGCCTTCCAAGCTAATATTGGTCTGATCAGCCATAGTTGGACACACTGTACCTTGACTCCAACATAGTGATGCCATGTTGGTCCTCTTTAAGCATGAAGGACAGCAACCAGCCAATAATGGTATTCATTTTGTGAATAGGTTAGACTAAGACTCAAATTCTAAAATTCCACTTTCTATTCAAGCCATCAGAAGGCATTCTGTGACCCAAGCTGTCAGCTCAGCTCCTGAATGGACAGGACCTCTTTCCTGCCAGTTCTTCTCAACTTTTTCCAGGCTTGGTGCCACTTGGGGTTCCTATGTAGCCTTAAAGGTAGGATTAATTCCCATCAGTAATTCATAATTATTTAAATGGCTCTAGCCCCCAATCCCACAAGGTTTTAATCTCTTTCTGAACTTTGTATAACTTTAAAAGGATTATTCATTCACATATAATTCTGCATGTTTACTAAAATAGAGTCAAAATTAACAAGCTATTATTTTATTTGATTTGTTATCATCATTATTACTTGAGACTAAGCTTCCCCATCTTGCCCAGTATGGAAGTACAGTGGTCACTCTTGAGCCTGATCGCACAGGGAATTGGAATGAAAACTTTAACCTGCTCTGTTTCTAACCTGGGCTGGTGCTTCTTAGGCCCCCTGCTCCCAAAAGTTCACTATAGCAATGTGAAAATTAGTGCAAACACTTGTTCAGCTTATGCCCACTGCATCTTAGAACACCTGAGCTCAAGAAAGCCACCAGCCTCAGCCTCCCTAGTAGCAGGAGCTTATAAATGTGCACCAAAATTTATGGCAGAAACTACTACTTACAAAAAATAAGTGCTTATTGGCTTTCATTTCATGGAGCCACTGATAGTCAGATGGAACTTCATGGGTATTTGACAAAAGAAATGGGAGTTGGGATGGAGCTGGTGATTGTTCTCCAATACAAATCACTTGTTAAGAATGGCCTGCCATGATGTGCCTAGCACTGCTCCTGGTAGCCTTAGAGAACATGGGGTGTCAGTACAGTATTCTGGGAGCTGAGATGCTTATTCTTCTGTTGGGGCACACCAGCAACTTGCGTCTGGTGTTTTTGAACAGAACATACAGGGACACACCATTCCTTGCTGATGAGCTCATGATACTCTTTGGTGCATGGATTGCGGCCAATAAAGTTGTGCCTCCAGCCTAGGTTT